GGGCTCAAGTTAAAGGAAGCCAGATTTTAGTTGAATATCAGAGAAAAAAAAACTTCCTAACTGTTAGAGCAGTACGACAATAGAACCCATGACATTGGGAGGTGGTGAGCGCTCCAAGGCTGGAGGCATTCAAGGGAAAACTGGACCACCATTTGTCAGATCTGCTTTGATTTGAATTCTTTGCATTGAACAGGAGGTTGGATTTGATGGCCTTTTAAGCCCCTTCCAAACTCGTTATTCTATGATTCTGTGACTCCTACCATTTAAATGATTTCTCCTGCAGGCACATTTCAAAAATCCGCAGTGCAAAAACCTTGGTCAGGAATTCCTCCTCATAAAGAAGATTGTGGCAAAGCAAGAATCTCTTCCTACACAGTGTCCCAATGAGAACTATGAAATTAATGAAAAAACAGGAGGGTTTTTTTTTCCTCCTAAACCTAACTGTTCACCTTTGACAATCGGCAAGGCTCTGGGAGCAAAAGGCTAGCAGCCAAAAGAATTACTTTTAAAGCTGACCGCTCAGGAGTAGCACTCCAGCATCCTGTCTTGAACATCTGGATTCTACATGGCCATTAAAGGATTTTATTTTTCTAACAGTTCTGAGAATTTTGTTAAAAGCAAGGAAGGAAGTAGGCAGCTTCCTTTCCAATGCCATCGGCAAAGGACACAAAGCCACAGTAAACAACCACAGATGACATTCATTTGGTGGGCATGAAACCCGTGTTAGAATATAGACGGAACAGCCGACGTCAGAAAACTGAGTTCTTAGAAAAACCAACATAAAAATTACGTATGAACAAAAACAGATAAACATGAGCTCAAATGATCATTACAGACGAGAACCCACGCCGTTCCTAACGTTTTGAAGAGATCCAGTTTTTAAGTCCACAACAAATTGATGTAACACAGTGGGGCTCTTTGTCAGTTCTTTGTTTTTCTATTAAGACGTGCATCCCTCCGCCTCTCAGCAACATTTTGAAGAATTTCTCTTTCCTTTACTGTCACAAATCCATGGATTCCATTATCTCCTCCCAAGAATCCCAGACAACCTTGCCTTCCCCACTACAGAATTCACTGCTCCTATCGCAAAGCTTGCCTTTATTCTCCCTTCCTCCAGTCCTTTTCTTTCAATTAATTAATTATTTTAATTTTAATTAATTAAATGCCCATCTAAACCAAAGGTATACTCTATGTGGCATTACAAATTTTTAAAAACAGTGAAACCAATAAACATATACAGTAGTGCCTCGCTTAGCGAGCACCCCGTTTAATGACGAAATCGCATTGCGATTAACTTTTTGATTGCCTTTGTGATTGCTTTGCGATGTTCCCTATGGGGAAAAATCGCCCTCCAGTCTACCCTGGTGTTGGACGGCATAACCGGGCGGACAGATGAGTGCTAGGGGTGGACCCCCCTCTCCGACGATCCATGTTTCGGTTATGCATGCCAGGTCTGCATCCTCCTCCAGGATAAGGTCGTGGATTACCTGGACCTTGTTGGATACAGACCTGGCATTCAACACCAGGCGTAGGGTGGAAGGTTGGCTGGTCTGGCTACCTCGATCCTGAGGGCTGGTCACAGTCTCAGAACAATGAACAGCCTTCAGACATCTGTTCATCATTCTACTTACACGAGTGGGGACTGTGCCAACGCCACATCGCCCTCTACCCGTGACCACGGAGATATTTTGGGGCCCCTCGCTGGGGGGGGCAGACCTTCCATTCCATATCAGGGAAGGGAAAGGGTGGGAAAGGAAGGAAAGGGAAAGGAAAGTGAAGAAAAGTAAGAAAGAGAAAAAATTATAATAAGCCAAAAAGTAACTTAGAACTAACAAATCAAGTAACAATAAAAAAAGAGAAAAATTAATCATAAAATAAGCAAACTTAACTCAAATACAATTAATGGTAATAACAAAATAAGAATTAAAAATATATAATAATAACAATAATAAAAATAAACAATAATAAAAATAAAAAAGGAATCTAATTAGAAAATCACCACATTAATTATCCCCCACACATAGCCCAGAGTTGTCTTTCGCCGCCGCGTGGGCTTATTTTTGCTGTTGTAGGTGAACTTAGTGATGTTAATGGCCGCGCTGGTATACAGTGCATCTAACATAAGATTCCTTCAACCCTGTTTTACCAAACTAAGACCTAACCTGAATATAAGCTCTAGTATGATTTTTCAGGATGCTTGAAATAGAAGCCCTACCTCAAAAATAAGCCACAGTTAAGTGAAAACCCCTGTCCTCCACTATTGTGCAGCAACCAAAAGAAGATGGCACAACTGTATTTGAATGTAGATTGTTGTACATGGAATAAAAATAAAACATCCCCTGAAAATAATGCATTTTCGGAGCAAAAATTAATCTACGACCCTGTCTTATTTTCGGGAAAACATGGTATCTCAAGAAGGAAACTACTGCTGTACCCCATGCACACTGTTGGGACATTTCTGTTTTTTTCCCTGTTCTGATGACATCACTATAACATCCGAAGTTTCCCTAAGCCAAAATTAATTGGTTTGACTGACATGTCTCACAAACATTCTGCGCCCAAGAGTTTTTACTAATTTATCAAGGCCTATTCTAGGTTTTTTTTAAAAAAGTTAAAGTGCCCTCAATAGAGAAAAGCTTGCCATTTTAAAAATCCATTAGTGGACCAAAGAGACTGACTGTTCAGGGTGACACAAAAATGAATCAATGGAGCAAGATATCCTTATGTTATCTGCTTGCTACCTGTTATTCCTGCAACTTACTGTACTTTCTAAGAACCTCAAACCTTCATGTTGCTGTTTTAAGCTTCCAGGCATCATAAGTATTTGAGGAGCTCTCAGACCAATAGAAGGCAGTCAGCTTAATCTTTCCCAAGAAACTCACAACTTCAGTTTTCAGCTGTGGGGCAGACCTCAGAATGAGGCAAGAACTAAGAGGGAAGGAGAGATTCTCATGGGCTCACATGGGCTTATTCTTTTATTGATTCGTCTTACATGGGCAATTGTCAGAACTTCGTGAAGCAACTTTTTCTATCACAAGACAGGTTGCCTGCAGGATTTTGGGAGCTGCATTTAAAAAAAAGGAACTTTCCTAAGCTTCCTAAGGAACTTTCCTAAGTTTGTTACATTTCATTTCATGTAACAAACTGATTAGAGGGCTAAATTAAAGACTGAAATTTTAGCAAACATTGGAAGAACGTATGATTCAAAAGGTTATCGTTGTCTAAAATCTGTATCTCACTGCAGTTTAGGAAAAAGGAAGAGGCAGGATGCTGGTTATGACCCTTTTGTCTTCAATGCCTCATTGACAGTATTTGGAGTTTGCCCCTATAAAGATGGAAGATACTGTAGCACTGCATTGAGGGTAGCTGCTACTCATAAGGTACACTGCCTGAACAGGAAAGCAAATGTGTTAAAATGGAGAACTGAATACAATCAGGTTAAAACCATTTAGACAATAAACATCCTGCTTAAAAATTGCCAGAAGTTATTTCTTTATTTTTTTTAATCCACACTTCTTTTAGCAGGAAGGTGATTCTTAAAAGAGTTGAATTTTTGCAACAATAATAAAAAATTTTTTAAAAAGCAATGTACAAAAGATAAACAAGCATAGCTATTTGCTATTCTGTCAGAAATAAACCCTCTGTTTATCATTAAAGAATACATTTCCATATATGTTTCTAGAAAATATTCAAAACATTATCAAAGTCATTCAATGTCAAATAGGAGATACACCTTGCTTCTATAACTTAGTGTGAATGGCATGCAATATTCACACATAAATTTTTGTTTTGTTTTACAGTGTCAGTGACAGCACTGTTTTCTGTTTACTTTAAATGCCATGTAGTCTATCAATTAGAAACTGGTCCCAGCCAAGATGATAAAATCAAGAGAACATCTAAACTGCCAGATGCCTCTTACGTGTTGCCTTTAAACTTTAGAAAATCACAATGCTATAAAATATAATGGATGTTCCTTTTGATGTCTTTTCTCTGTAATTGGCCACTTCATTTCTTTGCTCTCCGAGACGAGGTCTTGGCAGCAAATTAGTCGATTATTATAGAAGAGAAAATAGTGGGTATGTAATGGGTGTTTTAACCACACGTTGACTTGCCTGCCTGGTTCAAAGATGGATGACAATCGCAGGCCACCTGAACTCTATTCAGCCGTTCAGAAAAAAATATTAATCTTAAACGATGAACAGAGGGAGCAAACTTGTTCTACTTCCTCCAACCCACTTTCTGTATCTAAAGAGCTAGATCTAAAGCAGACAGTGATCTGCACATGTGGAATATCTGGAAATGGTCAGGACTTCTGACTGTTTAGCTTTCCTGATCAGGTGGCAAGACCTCACCGACAGAATCAGTTCTGTTCTTGAGATTTAGTTCTCTGCAGACAAGAAGCCTCTTCTCTCTGTTCACAGATTAACACTGAACGCTTTTACTGAATTGGACTACTGAGAAAATATGAGGGTGACCCAATGTCACCTTGTCTTGACAGGGAACAGGAGCACAGAGGAGACACAGAAATCCAAATATATTTCTGACAGGCAACATGACGGTTTCAGTGTTTGCCTAGAACACCGATGGCAAATTGGTGGCATGCAGAGCCCTTTCTGAGGACACGCGAGCCATAAGTCGGCAGATCACCCCTGGGCAGCCAAATCTTAGGAGGCGGCTGCAGTCGCTATGCTGGTGCTTCAACAGGCAGATCCGGAGGAGTTGGCTCTGGTGGCAGATCTGGAGTGGGTTCTTGAGGCACGTCCGTCCCCGGGATTCCCCCTTCCGCCACCACCTCCAGTTCTGCCACTGCGCTGCTGCAGCACGCTGTCCACTGGATGGGTTTGTTTGTTTTCAGTTTGGGGACGCGAGCCCAAAAAGGTTCGCCGCCACTGGCCTAGAATGTTCAAAACAGAGTCCCTCCAGATAGCAAACATGTCAGACAGGCCAATCATGAGGGGCATAGCAGTGGAAGTTCAGGCTTAAAAAGGGTCTGTCACACCAGATGTCAGGGAGCCCAGGAAAGAGCTGAAAAGGGCCAGAGGTGGTAAATATGCAGTACTTGCACTAATTTTCCTAATGGTAACTACAGCTTATTAAACTGAGCTCATGGCACTCTGCCAGCAGTCTTCATAAGAAGGCCTTTGGTCATTACTTCTAAGGAGCCTTTTCTTGCAGACAGCCCTTCCATCAGGTAAGCATATCCCTTGCCTCTTCTTTCAACTATGAACACTGGAAAAGTTGAGTGGTCCCCCCCCCCCGTCTCATCCTGCAAACCAGGAGCAAGGCTACCCACCTCTTTGACATAGTATTGCTACTAAGCAGAACAAGTCTGTGCAAAGCTGTAACCCTTTTAAAATATCTCCACAAAACAGCTTTGCTTTGTAATTCATTTTCTTCACCGTATTTTCCATTTAATTAATCCATTAGGTTCTCTTTCTAGTCGCCTGTAGGGCAACCTCGCTTTACATGATTAGATCAATTTACCAGATGGCACTGTAGGATATACTCACATGAAGCCTCGAAATCTACTTAAGTCATTATTTGGCTCTTCACATTCAATGATACTAGTAAACTTCAATGGGTCAAAGTCAGAGTCCTGAAATAAATAAAATAACAGAGTCAAGCAAATTAGCAGTTTACTTGTCACACAGATTGGAAACATCCACAAACTGTGGGTGAAACCCCCAGACATGGCGGTCTATTTTTGCTTGCCTCATTAGGAGCTCTGGTGGAGACCTCAGACTCGAAAATATGTCCACAAGAGGGTGTCTCAAGTCCCACTGAGGCTGCCAAGGTCCTTTGGGTTTCCCCCATCACATCATTAGGGAACTTATAAGAATCTTCCCCAAACGGAACGTCCTTGTTGTCCCTTTTCTTTTCTATTTATTAGGGTGATGGTAGAGAGCACCTCATGGGACGTGGTGGTGCTGCGGGCTAAACCGCAGAAGCCTGTGCTGCAGGGTCAGAAGACCAAGCAGTCGTAAGATCGAATCCACGCGACGGAGTGAGCGTCCGTCGCTTGTCCCAGCTCCCGCCAACCTAGTGGTTCGAAAGCATGCAAATACAAGTAGATAAATAGGGACCACCTTGGTGGGAAGGTAACAGCATTCCGTGTCTAAGTCGCACTGGCCATGTGACCACGGAAGATTGTCTTCGGACAAAAACGCTGGCTCTATGGCTTGGAAACGGGGGTGAGGCCCGCCCCCTAGAGTCGAACACAACTGGACAAAAATGGTCAAGGGGAACCTTTACTTTCAGAGAGCACCTGCTGGATGGACAGCTTAGTGAGTTAGGTATCTGGCTGTGGAACCAGATGCTGGAAGTCTGGAGAGGAGAGCCAGCCTGCGTGACCTTGAGCAAGCTGCATAGTCCCAGGGGCACTCCAAGAAGAAGGGAAGGGTAACTTATAAATACTCTCTACCTTGAAAACCATGAAAAGGGTTGCCATAAGTCAGAAGTGACTTGATGGCATATGGTGATGGTGATGATTAGCTCTTCTCTCATCCCTTTAAATATTATTCAGAAGTGCACTGCCTCTGAGCCGGAAGATTCTGCTCAGTTTTCATGGCTAATATCTGACAGTACACTTATTCTTTTCCAAGCCCCATCAGAGCCTGTTGCCAAATTCACAACTGGCTGACTATTGTGGGAAATAAAATTATGGACTAGATAGGCTTTGTGTGTGATCCAGCAGAGTTCCTGTTATATTTTCACTTCCTGTACCTCTGAAAACTAGCTAATAATGTCAGAGACTGGGACTTTTTGATGGCGAGCCTCACACCTTCGCAACTTGTCTCCTAAAGAAATAGGCTTAATCCTACTAGACCTCAAGATGTCTTTACAGGCACTTTCCTGCACTGAGATAATCTTAGTGGGCTGTGCTTTTTTCACTGCTGATAGCTGTAAATTAGTAGAGTGCATGCAGAACGTTGGAGTTGCTGTTATGTGGTGTATTTTAATGTTTTATGAATTGTCTTTGGAGGTCAGTGTGCTCAAAAAGGCAATTTAGATGTCTTGTAAACAAACAATGAAATGTATGCAAGTGAGAAGAAAATAGTTTGAATTAAAAAATCCCATTGGATTTGGTGGGATTTGTTGGTGAACATATATAGAATAATATAAAATAAATCAAGGAATTAATGATGGGCTTCCATCTACTACTTCAGTCCCAGTTTAGTACTTCACTAAGGAAAATCAGATGAATTACCTAGAAATTTGCAAAATGTCGAAAAATCCATATATGTCCAAGGTTAATTAAAAGTCGGCTAGGCTTGCTTGGGTACACAGAGATGTAATTCAATATCTGAAATGAATTAAGAGTCCTCCCCATGCTTTTCCTGGACAAACCGAATCTTTGCTACTACTTTCCCTTTTGCATGCAGGGACATAGGGAGCCAGGGAAACTTTCTCCCCCCTCCCCCCCAAAAAAACACTATTATTGAAATGCACAGGGTGCTAGGAGCTCCTGAGTATTTTGCAGGATTATCAAGTTATGCTACCTGTGTGCAGTAAAATCTGGAATCTCTGAACACCTGTACCATTCTAGAAGGAACCAGGTGTTTGCTAATAACAATTGGGAGCCATCAAGCCAATTCTAACTTATGGCAACCCTTTTCAAGTAGAGCAATACCCAGAAGCAGTTTACCAATCTCTTCTGCTGGGGGCCTCTGGGACTGTGCAGCTTGCCCGAGGCCATATAGGCTGCCTCCTCTTCCAGGAAACACCGTGGGGAATTGAACTCTCAATCTCTGGCTTCACTACCGGATACCTAAACCACTGAGCTATCCAGATAGCGAGGTAATTACCAGCCAGGGGCTACTGCCCTCGTGTGACTTTCCAGAATTATTGGGCTGTCTACACAAACAAGATGTTGGGTTACAGAAGCCTTTGGTCTGTCCCAGAATTGCCAGTCTTCCATATGTTCTTCTCAGAGCTTAGAAAAATTAATTTTTCGGACTTAATCTCTACAATCATTCAGCTAGCATTACAGCAGGACTGTAGTAAGACTGCATTGGGTCAATTCCAAGCCCCACCTGCGGATGCCAGAAACAGTGGATAAGCGAAGCACTTCCTTTCATCTTCTTTGGTACTCTTGTATGTTTGAGAGAGGAAGCCCTGGCCCAGTCTTGCCAACAGACTGGGTTTCCTGTTGTCCTGTTTGCAAGGGAGGCTTTGCTGAAACCAGCAAGTGCTGCCTCTACCCCACCCCTGCAAATGCAGCTTCTCCATTTCATTCGAAGCTGCCTCCCTCCCAGATGTCAGGCTATAAATGCATTCTCATTAAGCCACCTGTAAATAGCATGGTCTTTGGTCCCATCTAATGGCCAGTTCTTTCCCTTCAGCGTTGCCTGGGGGCCGTACTGCAATGGATGCAGGAGAACAGACTGAGGCTGAATCCGGATAAGACAGAAGTTCTGAGGGTGGGTACCCCCGTGGTAGGTGGCTTGGGTGGCTCTCTCACATTTGGGGGGACCACCTTGGCCACGAAGAGTGGGGTCCGCAGCCT